ATTTAATTTCTTCGTTAGCAAATTTTAATTCTAAAGTTGCAATTACTTCAGATGTTTGGACATCCAAATTTAATATTAGTTATATTTGTGTTGCCGGCCATTTCATTGATGAAAATTGGCTTTTGAATAAAAGAATTTTAAGTTTTACTAGGCTTGAATGGCCATATAGTGGCCCAGCTATTGCTGCAAGTATTTTAAATACTTTGCATGCTTATGGTTAGTTTTGATAAAGTAGCAATAATGATTCTGCAATAAATATTTTAAAATCTCAATTAAAACCATGCTTAAATGGTAAATTATTTCATATTAGATGTGCATGTCACATCTTAAATTTATGTATTCAGGATGTCTTGAATATTATTTCAAATCATATTTCAAAACTTAGAAATTGTATTATATATATATATATATATATATATATATATATATAAAGTTCAATGGCAAGAAAACAAGAATTTAAATATTTATGCCAAAAATATGGTTTAAAATATAAACACTTTATATTAGATGTAAAGCATAGGTGGAATTCTACCTATGCTATGTTAGAAAGTTGTATATCTCATAAACAAATTCTTTCTGATTTTTATAATTTAAAAATGCCTAATGATATGATATTTGAGGAAGATTGGGAAATGACAATCTGTATAAGAGATTTTTTAAAACATTTTTATGATGCAACAAATGAATTATCTTGAATTTATTATCCAACTAGTTGTAATTTACTGTATCAATTAATGGTAATTAGTGATTGTTTTGCCAAATATAGAAATAGTCCACAATTTCAATGTACTGTTGAAATTATGGAAAATAAATTTAAAAATTATTGGGAGAACATTTCTCCCCTTTATTGTTTAACTACAAAATTAGACCCTAGGATTAGGAAAGATGGTTTAGATATTTTACTTGAAACATATTATGAAAATATGAATATTGATATAGGAAATAAAAAAGAAGAAATTAATAATTTATTATTTGAAATGTACAATTTGTATGAATCTGAAGTTGTAGGAAATATTCCTACTACTTGTTCATCTTCTTCTTCTTCTCCTTCTGACTTTGAGCCCAGTAGTAGAAGAGAAAAGCTTTTTTATTTAATAAGTAAAAGGCAAAAATCTGCTAGTTCTACAACAAGTTCATTTACTGAACTTAATTTTTATTTGCAAGTAAATTTTTCTAATTTAGGTGAAGTATCAAATAATTTTGATATTTTAGCCTGGTGGAGTGAACACTCAAAAAATTATCCGGTTCTCGCCGCCATGGCACATTATCTACTAACCCCAGAGTCTTGTTTTAGTGCAGATACCAGGGTGTTGGATGACAAAAGAAGCTGCATGAACGATGAGAGCATAGAGATGTGCATCTGTTTCAAGGATTGGCTAGATGCAAAAGATAGATTACAAGACAAGTGAGGGCATGATACAAAACCGGACATTTCACCCAAAGCAGATGATGAAAGTCATGAATGATGATTCATGAATTTGATTACTTGTAGAATTTTTCATTTTTTCAAATTATTGTAAAAAGTTTTAAATTTATTTAATTTATTTGATATATTTTTTTAATTTTTTAACAATGTAATTTTGTATTTTCAATTTGAACCATATTGTATTTTTTATATTTTATTAATTTATTCCATTTTTATATTTCACTCATCCAAGTATGCAATGATCCAATCGTTGTATTTGTAATTCACTAATTTGTTCTATTCAAATTTAAATGAAATAAAATTCCTATTTTTCTTCCAATTTGTTATTCCATCATTCTTATTTCAATTTGGTTAAGTATTTTTTTTCATTTATGTGTTAAATAACTTAAATTTCTCATTTCTTAATTTTTTAAATAGTTCCTAATTCCCAAAGTTCATAGGAAAGTTAAGTATTTTAGTTTTACAATTTTACTTAGAAAAGAAATCAAAATTTTCAAAAAAAATAAAAAATAAAGAAAAAATAGTGCAGCCCGGTTCGTTCTAGGCCCAAGGCCTGCCCTGTGGCCCAGCCCGGCACGGTCCAAGCCCATGGCACGGCCTGCAGCCCGGCCTGACCCAAGTCCGCGTGTCAGCACGGCACGGCGTGGGCCCGCTTGGGCCTGGGCCGTGGGCCATGCCGGGCCAACCCCCAAAATTTTCACCGGGGAGGACGGCAGGGCCCGTGGCGGCACAACCCACTTTACACCTCTAGTCTTGTGGCTACAGAGTCTTTGAGTTCGTCTTGTGAGAGCAACACCTACTTATGGCATAGTTGTCTTGGTCATCTTTCTTTTGAGTCATTAAACCTTATTTAAGTCTTTGTAAATTAAAGAGTTATAGTGTTTGACATGTTCATTGAGTAAACATTGACATGTTATATTTGGCTATGAAAGATGTGAAGTTCTAGAGACTTATAGGGAGACTCTTACATTTGTCTATGACCAGACTTAAGATTGCCTATGCAGTGGGTGTCCTTAGTTGGTTCTTGTATAGTCCTAAGATTTCCCACTTTGAAGCTGCAAAAAGGATCCTTAGATACCTCAAGAGGTTCCCAGGGGCCAGTTTGTTGTTCTAGAAATATGGGCATTTAAAATTGAAGTGTATAAAAATGCTGATTGGGTAGGAGCAGTCAATGACAAAAAGTCTACCAGTGAGTACTGTACCTTTGTGGGACAAAACTTAGTTACTTCGAGAAGTAAGAAACAAAGTGTGGTGGCTAGGCCTAGTGCTGAAGCAGAATACAAAGCTATGTCTCATGGAGTTGCTGAAATCATGTGGATAAAGAAACTATTAGTTGAATTGGGCTTTACAGTTAACAGCCCCATGTCACTCTATTGTGGCAATAAAGTTGCTATCTAGTCCTCCATGATAGGCCAAAACATATTGAAGCGGACAAGCATTTTTATTAGGGTAAAACTTGTGAGTGGAGAAGTATGCACTCCCTATGTCAGCTCAAAAGAACAAAGTGCAGATATTTTCACCAAGGATTTTCATCCTGTGTGGCACAACGATTTGTGTGACAAGTTCGGCATGATTGACATCTATGTCCCAACTTGAGGGGTAGTGTTGAAATAGCTTAGTTTATTCTAGTTATTTTGTTCAGTTTATTTTCTCTTGTTCTGTTTAGAATAACTTAGTTTTTTATTCTGTTTATGTACTGTAACTGCCGCAGAAGCATGAGAGTCTTTACCCAAACACTTTCTCTTTTCTTCTCCCTTCTCTCTTCTCTTCATCCTTCTCTCTTTTCTTCTTCTTCCTTATTTATTTTGTATTTTTCTGCTAATAAAGGACACTCCATCTATTTTAGGAGGGTCCATGACTCCATGTAAGACTAGACTGCTCCAAAAACTAAGAGAAATATATTTGGATGGAAGGGGAGAGAGAGGGAGCTGGGGATTGGAGCTATTGTTTTGACTGCCCAAATCAAATGATACATATTCAATGTTTCTGTCTGCTTAGTTTCAATCTCCCATTCTTCCTCTTCCTACATCCTTAAGCTCTTGATCTTGCAATTAGAAATATGGTGCCCTAGACTTTGGTACACTCAACTTCTGTACTTCTCAGTCCATTTTTTATTTCTAGGTGATCACCTTACAAACTACACAGGCATCATATTAATAATAAATGCCCAGATACGGAATGGGCATGGACATGGACACAATTATAGAAAATGTGGATACACTTTCCATATCCTAAAATCTTGGACATGGATACAGGTTTAGGTATCCCATGTAACATGCTTATTTCATGTGTTTATAAGTAGTTTTTGAAGATAAGTGTCATTTCTTAAAACTTATGTCATGTTAAATTTAAATAAATTTCTAACATGTGCAGATCTTTTCTAGTTTAATTAGTTAAAGCATACCATTTTACATATTTTAAAAGTGTTAATTCTCTAAGAGTACACCTAGGCATGTACTGTGATATGTCCCGAAAATTTGACACGCAGTTCACAGACTTACAGCAGCACTCACACACTCGAACATCAACAAAAGAGACTAGTATTCATTCAGCAGAAAACATTAACAGTTGGTCGGTTCTTCGAGACACCACCGGCTCTCCCAAACACTCACAATATTCTTTACTCAAAGAAAAACATACCACCCCCTATCCCCCAAAGCCCCTTCTTATACTCTTCTGATAGCATAACTGACTCCCTCTATAAATGCCCAGCTGGCCTAGTTATAAATGCCCAAAAACTCTTCTTTTTTCATAACTGACATAGCTATAAATGCCCCGAGACTCTCCTTATTCCCTCCAGCTATAATTGCCCTCGTGTGATTAATTGTTCAATTATTTCCCCCCCTTAGCTGATTGTTGACCTTTCCTCTTCCTGGCATACGTTAGGTTAATTGGGGCCTATCATACTGGTATCTGGATATTGTAGATCCACACTTGGAAAATCCACCCCTCCCAAAAAGAACCCAAATTAATGCCTTGTCCTTTAGTTGGCACCTTGACAACTATGTATCAGAGACATTTTTCCACCTTGGGTATATTTAACATTTTGGATCAGGTATCATAGATTTAGGGGCTATTGCTTGATACAATGGTAAATCTCAGGCTGAAAAATGTAGGAACAAGGATTCAAGTCTGAAAGTGCTAACTTTATTTCCAGATGTTAAGTCCATAACCATTCTACCCCTCCTAAGACCCTGGATAGATGGGACCAAGATTGGGTAATAGTGACCGCCTTAATGTAGAATGCAATTTATAATTTATGATACCTAAGGTCCATTACCTAGTGATAGGCTCAGTTATTTGGGGTCTTGGAAGGGTCATTGAAGTGGTGACCCTTTTCTGGTTAGTGGAACTTTTTTTGAAAAGATAATTTGGAAGGGTATACAAGAAAACCTTTTCTTGTCCTCTTGTAATTAGTGATAAAGTTAGGTATAGAAGCATTGGAGCAGAGTTCCATATTACAAAAGGATACATGTATTTTTCAAAAAAACTATATGGAAAATTTCAGTGTCAGAAATTCTTGAAGTATATGCTATGCATTAACTTGAGTTCTGTTTTTACATTTGTTCTGCAGTATGATGCATTCTTTAAGCAACACAATTTGAGTATGAGAAGCTTTGTGCTTTCTGTATCAAGACGTGTAAATGTTAGTTACATATCATCACCAGAAGTAGCTTTTCTCAAGAGTATTACAACACAATTTAAGCGGAGCACAACAAAACTGGTCTTCCGCTTTCTAAGGGCTGACGATATTGAACCTACAACAAACCAGACCTATGGCTCAATATTGAAAAATCTTACATTTGTCAAGACATTTGCCTCTGCAATCCTTATCCCAAAGAATTACATATGGCCTGTAAGGACTGACCTATATCTGCAACCCCATACCTCTGTTGTGTTGAATGCTCATGGGGAAGGACTTGAGGTCTTTGCATCAGATTTTGCCAATGATGGGCTTATTAGCTACAATTACAGCTATGATCCAGTGAAGGAATATCTTTCATTCATTGACAATGGTAAATTTTCTGTTGATGGCATCTTGTCAGACTTCCCTGTAACTGCATCAGAAGCCATAGGTAAGATTTTGCCTAGTCACACTTTTCTAGTAATACTTCTTAAAATATGCATCCGGTAGAAAAATTAATGTTGGGTATTTGCAACTATATAAATGCAATGGACTCAACACTAGATTCTATGTAATTTGCTTCATCCGATGTTTCTATTATGATCTGAGATATGAGAAAGTTAGATCCCACTCTACTTGTTGCCACAATAAATGATTCCTGGATTGCAACAAACAAATTTAGATGAAGTTAAATGTGCAAATGGTATCCAACATGTAACAAGCAAACAAAGAAAGAAAGAGGGACAAGGGAAAAGAGAAGACAAATAGAAGGAAACGGAGGACAGAATAGAATAGACTCTCCCCCTGGCACCTGGATCTATTTATATATTTCTTAAAACAATGCCAAAGGTAGTTCTGCTCCTCAAAGTATGGGATAACAATATTAAAATAGTGACAGGTTTGTTACATTGTCTTATTTAACATAAAGTACAAGAAAAAGACTCTAATACCCCTGATTACGTTTCTTAACACTATACTTGTGACTACATCACGTAGACTGTTCCATACATTATGCCTTTGAATTTTGATTACTGATAAATGTAATTTATCCATATGTTACTGCCACATCCTGAAATTCCATATTTTAGCCATTGGAGTTCTTTACCATTGCTAGAATGTTTGTTGACTATGTTGAAATCCATTAATGAGATATGTAGAGGCTCATTGTAAGATTACATATGCTAACAACTATCATTTATTTCTTGGTAGATTCATTTTAAGGGGTTGTTTGGTTTGAAGGGATCATTTTGTTTTCATGCCGTTTTAAAAATAGAAAGAAGGAAAATATGTTCACTAGCTATGTTTTCTGGCTCTAGAACCATAAATTAATGTTACCTCTTTTAAAAACTCCCTTGTTTTTGATAACTATAAAAAGTAGTTTTCACAAATAGGACCATGGTCCAGAAGATGCTGATGTGGTATCAATTATTGTTCAAGACTGGGAAGCCCCAATTGCTACCATATTTGTAAAAGAGTCTCTTTATTTAAAAAAATAACTCTTTAAAAATTAAGTGCACAGCCTATTCTTCTCAAAAAAACACCACTAATCATGAACCTTTATGCCAAAGACCATCTTAATTTCCATGGCATCATTGTGATGCTTTGTCAAGCTAGTAAATGTGCATTTGTTATTATTATTGTTATTATTATTTCAGTTTCTTATCAAAACCCATTTAACAAAGATAAGTAATCGAAGCATGGTTTATTGATGGATTTGTTGCCTTTCAACCTAAAGGCCTAGCTTCAAATCTTCAGACTTGTAGTTTATATCAATGTTTTCAATTTGTAGTTGAATTGGACAATCATATTGATATTGACTTGTCAGCCTGGCAAATTTCTAAGCATGTTTCAACTCAAATCACTTTGTTGCAATTTGCAAAAAGAAAAAAAAAATATTGGCTTAGTAAACAATCAGCTGATCTTATTGGTTAAACCAATGATCTTTTTGATTGGGCAACATGTCATGGATAAGGCATTAGTTTTCTTTTTATATATTTTAGCCATTTCCATCATTATTAACAATTATTCTCATTTTTTACACATTTTTGCTTAATATGATGACTATAGAATATTAAAGGCATGCTCAAATTTCTATAAGCTTTATAATATTTTCTATTTTTATTTTTATTATTTAATTTATGACATCATAATCTGACTTGTTTGACTAAGAGGGAAATGCAGTTCTAATCAATTTTTAGAACACTAGTTTTTTTATCTTGTAGTCAAATCAATTGGTTGTATTAGTTGACCTATCACTTGGCTAAGATTTTGGATCAATTTACCACCAAGTTACTTGCTAGTAAAAAAACACTGACTTAGATAACAACATGGTGACCTAGCTAATTAAACCAATGAACTGTTTGACATGGTAAAGGGGTTATGGGTTAGACATTAATTCTATTTTTTTTCTTAATTTTTGTATTCCATTTACATCAATAATAAAACCAATTTTTATTTATCACCTTTTGTTTTTAGTATGATGAATATATATACATATATATATATATATAATATTAGAGATATGGCCATACTTTTCTACAAAATTTCTTTATCTTTTACATCTTATTGTGTTTCTACCTATTTAAAATTTTATTATTTATTTGGACATCATGGCTAACCCATTTGGCCTAGATAGTTGAACTACTTACCCACCATATCAATGGAAAAATTGTTTTGCTTTTAAGTTGATTTTAAATTTTGTATTCATTTTCATCATTTGTAAAAACATATCTTATTCTTTATACTTTTGTTTAACACGATGAATATATAACACTCGATATGTGCTCAATTTTTTTTCTATAAAAATTATGTATTTTGTCATATTTTATGTTTCTATATATTTTTCAAATACTTATTTTTTAATTATGACATCACAGGTTAACCTATTTGATCTTTTAGGTTGACCATTGACCTACCACCTAGATAGGATAATAGTTTCATCTTTCGATCAGTTTTAAATTTTGTCTAGTTTAAAATTTTAATATTTAATTATAGTCGTCGAGTGTAGGAAGAAGAAGAGTTATGGGAGAGAATAGGTGTTACTGTTCACACCCTTGATATTTCATTATATACTAAGTCAAAAAATTACAGTCATGTCCCTATAAGGGCGGCCAAAATAAAAATAACAAGGAAGGACACAACAATACCCCTAAGACAAATGCACATTCTCAACACTCCCCCTCAAGTTGAGCATAGATATCTATCATGCCCAGCTTGCTCAAGTTTCTATCAAGTTTTGGCTTGTTGAGACCCTTAGTGAGGCAATTAGCAAGTCGGTTCTCTAACCTAACAAAAAGCATACATATTTCTCCATTAGCCATCTTTTATCTAATGAAGTGTCTGCCAACTTCAATATGCTTTATGCGATCATATTGAATAGGGTTATGAGCAACATTTATGGCAGCTTGATATCACAGTGTAGCATCATTGGGGTTTTAGCTTGGATCCCAATCTCTGATAACAAAGACTTCAACCATAACAACTTTGATACACCATGAGCCATAGTTCCTGTCGACAACTTGCATATGTGAAGTTCTAGGACTGTGCATATATCAACTTACTATGCTAACAACATAGGATATATCAGGTCGAGTCAGGCATAGGTAAAGAAGCCGACCAACAACCCTTCGGTAGACACCCTTGTTTGGAAGAATATTTCCAACATCAACACTCAGTTTATGATTGGGGTCAATAGGAGTTTCAACTGGCTTACACCCCAAATTCCCAACCTCATGAAGGAGATCAAGGACATGCTTCCTTTGTGAAATGAATATCCCTTCCTTTGACCTTGCCATTTCAAATTCAAAAGCAAGGAATGACTTTAGTTGGTTTATCCCAGAGTGATCATCTCCAGTGACAACAATATCATCCACATACACTATTGACAAGGTGAGTAGGCCATTAACTCTTCTTATAAACAAAGTATGGTCTGCTTGTGATTGTGTAAACTCAATTCTGAGAATATCTCTAGGGGACTGTTTAGGCCCATAAAGAGATTTTCTTAAACGACAAACCTTCCCCTCACTATTAGGTAAGATTACCCTTTACCTCCACCTGAAGATCTCCATTTAGGAAGGCATTCTTCACATCCATCTGATATAGAGTCAATGAATAATGAGCAACAAGACATGATAACTCGAAGAGAGTTCATGTTGGCTACAAGAGCAAATGTCTCTTAATAGTCAATCCCATATGTTTGGATGTATCCTTTTGCCACCAACCTAGCTTTGTATTTTTCAATTGATCCATCAGCTCGATGTTTAATGGTATACACCCACTTGCAGCCCACTGGGACTTTGCCTTCAAGAAGAGGAACAAGCTCCCAGGTGTGGTTTTTTAAGAGAGCTTCTATCTCTTGGTTCATAGCATCCTTCCACTGAGGTGACTGCACTGCATCTAAAACATTATGAGGAGTAGAAACAGAGGAGATAGCAGTAACATAGGCATGATATGAAAGAGCATCATAAGAAACGTAGTTAGTGATGGGGTAGGCAGTGCATTTCCTTTTTCCTTTTCTAATTGCAATGGAAAGGTCAAGGTCATATTGTGACACATCAGGCTAAATAACAGTAGGAGAAGGAAGTTCAAGGTTGCTTTCAGGGTTACCTAGAACCAGGTGATTAGATTGTTGTGGACATTCAGCCTCAGGAGTATCCTTCCTTTTGTGCCTTATAAACAACTATTGCTATGATTGCTGGAGAGGAACAGGGGGAGGAGGAGGAGCATGAACACTGTTACGACAAGGGGAAGACGAACTAGGAATGTCCATAGAGGTAGGAATAGGGAAACAAAAAGGAGTCTGATCTTCACAAACACTCTCCCCCTAAAGAGAAGGATGAGTGGACTGAAAATATGGAGTAGACTCAAGGGATGTAGCATCCTTAGATACATATCTTTGGCCAGTATGGGGATCAAAGCACTTGTACCCCTTTTGGACTGGAGAGTAGCCCAAAAATATGCATTTGATAGATTTAGGGTCAAGTTTCAGGCGAGAAGGACTCGTGTCATGAACAAAGAAACTACAACCAAAACCTCTGAGAGGTAGGCTGAAAATGAGATCCTTAGGAAACAAAAGTTGATGAGGGTATTGAAGAGAAAGGGATCGTGAAGGAAGTCTATTAGTGAGATACACTATTGCTTCAACTGCACCTCCCCAGAATCGAGTTGGTACATTCATCTGGAAGAGAAGGCCTCTTGCCACCTCAACAACATGTTTATTTTTTCTTTCTGCTACACCATTCTTTTGTAGAGTATAAAAACATGAGCTTTGATGAATTGGTCCCTTTCCTTCAAGAAATAATCACAGATGCTTTTCAAAATACTCCTTAGCATTGTCAGACCTCATTATCTTGATGTGCCTTTCAAATTGTGTTTTCACCATCTTGAAGAAGTTTTGAACAATGGAAGGGACCCCATCTCTACTCTTCATCAGGTAAAGCCAAATGTATCTAG